TTATAACTATAAATCACATTTAACTTATTGAGTTCTAAAACAATATAAAAACATTAAAAACTTAAAAGTGGTAACTACAATTTTGATAATAATTATTAATTACATTTTTAAAGAAATTGTATCACAGTATTCGCAAAATAAATAAATTAAACTATTATAACCACTAACCAAATAAGACCCTAACAGACAACAGTATACTTACTGGCTACTGCCTACTGGGTCAYTGGGATATAATAAACATTATGTTTTTATTTTACTATTTTTATTTTGTGATAATTACATTATCATTATTATTACATAATATTCTGTTAAAGTCACGACCACAGATTTATAAAAATACTTATATAAATATTTTTATATATCTGTGCTCACGACCACGATTTAAGATATACAGGTTGCACATCGACTACTGATAAGCAGTGTTGCCAGGTTTTCATTATTCAATATCGCGAATRTAGTATACATAAATCGCCCAATATCGCCGCCATCTAGTGATTATAAAAGTAGCCCAAATCGCCGTCACAAAAAAAAAAATTATGTTTTAGGTGTTTAGTGCCTACTAGCTAGTGACGTAACATTTTAAATTATCGGTGATTTATTTTTATTTTACTTGAGTAAATTACCTGTAATATTACTTTTATACGGTAATATTGAGAAATTTATTTTTCTATACCAAATCTATATAATATTTTAATTTAAAAAAATCAATAAATTAAGACAGTCTTGAGCTGGGTATATTTTATCACAAAATATTATAACAATAAAAAAAAACATTTCACTTGTTTATGCTATTTTAAAACAATTCAACATAATAACATATTAAATTATATAAATAAAATAAAAATAATTGTTAGTAACTTTCAGTTTCATAAAATATAGAAATCAATAGAGTGATTAATATTAACAAAATATACAAAATATATACAAATATACAATATATACAAAATATAAACAATTCATTTAACTTATTAGCCAATTTAGAACATTACAATATATAAACAAAATATACAAAATATATACAAATATACAATACATACAAAATATAAACAATTCATTTAACTTATTAGCCAATTTAGAAAATTATAATATTATAAAATAAGAAAATATTTAAAAAAAATAAAAACAATAAGTCAATCAATAGAAAGATCATCTGCATTAAAAAGTGTTACAGTTTCAAACATATCATCTGTCATGTMTTCGGTGGATGCAACTGAGTTTTACAATCATAATCATACATACTATCATTAAATAAATTTAACATTTCTTTAGTAGGTGTAAAATTTACACAGCATATTTTTTTTACTCTGCAATGAAGCTTTATTCTAATTAATGCTACTAACATGTTCATAGACATTCTATTTCGTAATTTAGTTTTAGTCGTATTCATCACACTAAATACCCTCTCTACAACTGCATTTGATACTGGTAATGTCAAAACACGAAGTGCAAAATTACTTAATTCTTTAAACATTTGTTCTCCAGTAGSATTTCTTAATTTTGATATTTCTATCTAACACTCTAGAAGAGAAATATCTTTAATATTTTTACCAGGGAATACTTCTTCAAATCTTAATGTTCCTAAATTATTCCATTGGACTTCTAGTATATCAGTATCATTATTAGTACCTGAGAAATATAATACATTAGTACCTACACATGTCACATACTATTTAAATTATAAGATTGTTTAACTTAATATAATATTTACAATATGGATAAATAAATAACTAAACACATAATAGTGTTAAATTAATATTCATACCAGCCAGATCAATGGGAAGTTCAGAAAATGATGGTCTAAATCCCGTTATGTTAAAACATTCTTGTGGTGACAAATTTCTCAGTTTTTCCATCACAGCCACATTATGAGGAAATCGTTTTATCATTTAACGACACAAAGAAAAAATGAACATAGCTCAACGTTTCATAACTTTATTCGATTGTTCGCTATTAATTGACTTGTTTGAAATGCTAATATCAGATTGCTTTTTAAATTTATATCCAAAATCTATAGATGTAAGAGGCAAATGAGCATCAGGATAGAGTAATGCATTTTTCAGCTGTTCAATATCTAAAATACTAATCATTTTACCATCAGTGCTATTATGAATAATTTTAGATAGGTATATGATTTGGTTTTAATATGCGCTTAGCCATAGATATAATTAACATTTTCAAATCTGCATACCCAAATCAATGTTTGTACTTTGAAGAACAAGATTTACTTGAGTTACAGCATGTAAAACTGGATTTAAAAACAAGAGATAAAGTAAGTGAGTTTCATCATTGAACATGTCAGATAACGTTCTAGAAGTATAGCACCCTTCTTTACTTTGAGATACAATTCCGAAATGCGTTTTCAAAGGCAGCCATTGAGTAAGCACAGCTTTTACACAATTATGCCAGGAAAGCCATCGTGTCGTGGATAATTGAATTAAGCAAGGAGGCTGTTTTCCATCATGCAGGGCTTGGAATAAATTGTTATATGTCATTTGCCGTAACGAACTATGCGAAAACCAACTTCTGGATTCTCTAAGCAAGAACTCTAAGCTACTTGGAAGCTCTTCGCATRCATTAGCAGCACATATATTAAGAGAATGACATACACATTTTATTAGTTGAAGATGAGGAACTTCATTTCTCAAAAGTGTGAAAAGAGATTTATTTTTTCCACATAAATTGCTTGCACCGTCAGTTCCTATACCAACTAAGTTTTGCAACTTTAATTTTGATTTTTTAATGAAATTCACGAATACATCTTTGAGTATTTCAGAAGTAGCTTTTTCAATTTCAGTAAAACCTAAGAACTCTGTTACCATGTTTGATGTGGAATGACTGAAATAGCGTACACAATATGCCATGTATTTATTAGTACCAATATCCGTTGATTCATCAATAATGATGGAGTATGGATTACTTCCAATATCTTCTATTAACTCGGTCAGAAAACAAGGTTCAATAACATTTATAATCAGTTTTGAGCATTTAGTTCTATGCAAATCTAATGATGAAAAGCAACTATTTGTACCRCTCATGGCTTTTAGAAGTTCACCGAGGTGGTCAACACTTCTGATTGCAGAATGGGTTGCGATGAAAAGAGCTATCTTAAGGTCTCTAATTTTGTCATTATTTGATTTAATACCAATTCCTAAACATATATTTTAACATTTTTAACTACAAGTACTATTCAATTCTTAACAACATTAAGTACACTAAACACTTTTAAATTATTGTAGTAATACTTACCGAATGATGTTAAGGCAGGTTGTTTTTTAACGTTTAAACTATTGTCTCTTTGTTTATGACAGTTAGTAGAAGAATGTTTTACTAAATCTGTCTTATGAGCTCGTAATGGTGTCCTACATAACTTGCAATATGCTTCTCCTTTGCCTGCGAATTCATCAGGTGCTCTTTGAAGCCATCCTATGTAGGTTGTAAAATTATTAACATTGTTATACTGCATTACTGCAATGACTATAAAAGTTATTTGAATAATATACCTGAAAAGCATGGTAAGAGTTCCCAATCCTTGTTATATTTTTTTTCGTACTTTGAATACTTCCCCATTACTGAACTGATCTGCCAATTACAGCGTAAATTTTTTTCGGAAAACGGCTAAAACACGATTTAGAACGTGTGAAATTAACGTAATATGACACGGCGATGCTGGTGCGAGGTGGTGCAGCGTCGGCCGGTCAGGTGTGGTGAGGTAGTAGTGATGTGGTGCGGGAACACCCAAGAACTTACACTACGGTACGGTGAAATGTGGCTAGGCCACGTTTATTCACTAATCACGTGTTTGAACAAAAAGAAAGAAAAAAAAACG